GAGTGATTAGAGTTTTAACTTTTCTAGGTCCTTGCATTGTTTGAGGGAATGGTAAAATTTTATTTACTTTAGACATTGTAAGCTATTTACACGTTAAAATTTCTGCATTAATGTGACAAATAGAAATCCGAGACCTTGGGGTGCCCAGGTGGCTCAGTTGGTTAAGCATCCAAGTCTTGATTTCGACTCAGGTCATGATCTCAGGGTTGTGAGATCAAGGGCTCCACACTCAGTGTGGGAAGTCTACTGGAGGATTCTCTCTCCTTCTCCGTTTGCCCCTCTTCCTGCTTGTGCACACACTCTCTCTCTCTCTCCCTAAAATACATAAATAAATCTTGGGACGCCTGGGTAGCTCATCGGTTGGGTGTCTGCCTTTGGCTCGGGTCACAATCCCAAGGTCGTGGGATCGAGTCCCAGCATCAGGCTCCTTGAGGGGCGGGGGGGGGGGGGACCTGCTTCTTCCTCTGCCTGCAGCTCCCCCTGCTTGTGCTCATGCTCGCTCTCTCCCTCTCTGACAAATAAATAAAATCTTTAAAAATATATATATAAATAAATCTTTAAAAAAAATTTTTTAAAGAAATCCAAGACCTTAACAGTTCTGGAAGACAAGGATGGGATGCTGAGTGACATGGCTCTGGACAAGAAAAAGGACAAAAGTACCAAGAGCCAGGTTAGGGGATATGAAAAAAAACGCAGTAACATGCTCTTGCCCAAGGCAAAGGGGGAAGTAAAGATCTTCATCTGTTCTTCTGTTCCGGAAGCAGACAAGAGGAAGGTATATACTATAAAAATGTAACAGTATTCAAATTATTGCACAAATACCACTACCAATAATAAATCTACTAAATTCAAGTTTTCTTGAACATTTCTGTCATTAGACCAAATCCCTCTGAAGATATACAAATTACTACGTTAAAAATTTTTTTAATTGGAGCGCCTGGGTGGCTCAGTCGGCTGAGCACCCGACTTGATTTCGGCTCAGGTCATGATCTCAGGGTCCTGAGATCAAGCACCATATTGGGCTCAGTAAGGAGTCGGCTTGTTTCTCTCCCTCTGCTCCTCCTCTCTCTCTCAATCTCAAGTAAATAAAATCTTTTCTCTTAAAGATTTTATTTATTTTGAGAGAGAGAGCGTGCGCACAAGCAGGGGGAACTGCAGAGGGAGAGGGAGAAGCAGGCTTCCCGCTGAGCAGGGAGCCCCATGCAGGGCTCAATCCCAGGACCCCAGGATCATGACCTGAGCCGTAGACAGACACTTAACCGACTGAGCCACCCAGGTGCCCTGTTTTATTTTTTGTTTGTTTTTTTAGATTTTATTAAATAAAATCTTGTTACAAATTATTTGAATTATTTATTTTTCTCTGTATATTTGAGATACACCGGATACATAGTTAAGTTCCTCTGTTAATGTTTGCATTCCATTTTAGTTTATCTCTTTTCTCTCATCTTTAGTGAAGGATGTTGTAAAACATGTACATGATTTAAAAGTTACAACCTTATAAATATGTACGAAGAAGTCCAATCTCTTACCTGTAGGTAACCAGCTTCAATTATTTCTGGCTTATCCTTCTTGTAGTTTTTTTTTTCCAAAAATACACAAATATACACACATACATGTACAAAAACACATCATGTGTATGTGTGTGTAATTTTCCTTTCTTCACAGACATTAAAGTGATTTTTTGAATGTAAGTATTGAGATGTACATGTCTCAACCATTGCTTTAAAAGTCTCATCCCTTTGCCTTTGGTGTAGTTGGATTGATTCCCAGTAGGATAAAGGACATTTTTCTCCTCACAAAGTTTCAGGCATTGGCAAAAAGAAAGGCAAAGACAGTTTCTCCTCTTAACCTGAAGCCCTGGGCTGTCCTACTAAGGAATGCCCTCCAGCTCAAAAGCCTTAGAGCCATAGGAAGCAAGCAAGAAAGAAAGAGTCCAAATTTGTCAGTACCATTGGTGGACAGCTAAAACTTGCTAATGTAGAGTTAATCTACACTACAATTTACCAAACTTCTCTGGTACCTCAAAATCAGAATAAATGTGATGAAGTTTTTGTTTTTAAAAAGAAAAGCAAGGGGCGCCTGAGTGGCTCAGTCGTTTAGAGTCTGCCTTTGGTTCAGGTCATGATCCCAGTGTCCTGGGATAGAGCCCCGAATTGGGCTCCCTGCTCCGCGGGGAGCTTGCTTCTCTCCCACTCCCCCTGCTTGTGTTCCCTCTCTTGCTGTGTCTCTCTCTGTCAAATCAATAAATAAAACATTAAAAAAAATAAAGAAAAGAAAAGCAATCACTTTTTAAAAAAAAACTGTACAAGCTACTCTGAAGTTCATTTAGAAAAATAAACATCCAAGAATAACCAGGAAAATTCTGAAAAAAATTCCAATGAGGCAGAAACTAGCCTTCCCAGATATTTAAACATTTTATAAAACCAGAGCAATTAAAATAGTTCACTAGTGGTGCATGAATCGACAGACTAAAGTAATAGAAAATCCAGAAACAGACCCCTATCATACAAGATTTCAGTTGTATGATAGAGGTGGAATTTTTTTTTTTTAAAGATTTTATTTATTTATTTAGAGAGAGAATGAGAGATAGAGAGCACGAGAGGGAAGAGGGTCAGAGGGAGAAGCAGACTCCCTGCCGAGCAGGGAGCCCGATGTGGGACTCAATCCCGGGACTCCAAGATCATGACCTGAGCCGAAGGCAGTCGCTTAAACCAACTGAGCCACCCAGGCGCCCAGAGGTGGAATTTCTAACAGAAAGAAAGATTAACTAGTCAATCAACAGTCAGCCATCTGAACCAAAATGAAGAGGGCTTCCTAACTCACTTCCTATGCCAAAATAGTAAGCAAAATAGTATTTCACCTGAGGTGGATGAAAAATCTGAGTAAAAGCAAAATAAAAGTAATAAAAATAATAAAAATACTAGAAGAATACTTATCAATTCAAAAGAAAATCCTATTTTTAGATGGCCCTATAGGTTTGTCACAAAACCACAAAAGCCTAAGACTAACTCTGACATGGGGCACCTGGGTGGCTCAGTCGGTTAAACTGGCTGCCTTCAGCTCAGGTCAGGATCCCAGGGGTCCTGGGATCGAGGCCCACGTCAGGCTCCCTACTCAGGCAGCCTTCTTCTCCCTCTCCCTCTCCCTCTGCTGCTCCCCCTGCTTGTGTTCTCTCTCTCTCTCTCTCTCTTTCTGGTGCTCTCTCTCTCAAATAAATAAATCTTGAAAAAAAAAAAAGACTAACTGACTCAATAAAAACATGTTTCTGCATGATAAACAGTATAGTCAAAATCAAGACAATGAAAAAAGAATCCTGTAAGCCAGGCAAAGAAAAAGATACTCAGATGGCTTTAAACCAGAATTTCTCAATCTGCACTACTGACATTTTGGACAAAATAATTCTTTACTGTAAGGGATTACGCTGTGCACTGCAGGACATTTACCAACATTCCTGGGCTCGAAAGATGCACATACCCCCATGCATACACAATTATGACAACCAAAAATGTCCCCAGATATTGCCAAATGTCCTATAAGGGTCAAAATTGCTCCTTGATGTGGACTTTAAACATTTAAAAAGATCCCCATCCTCACTCGTGACGCAAAATTTAACGGTAATGAAGTGCCATTTTTTTCAATTAGGTTTTTATTATCAAAACAAGTATTTTTATTACCAAATATTTTGTTGTTTACCAACGTGTTAGATTGGAAATCTCTCATCCAATCTTTTGGGAGTGCAACTTATTTTGGAGCGCCAAGGATATTTGCCACCGAAGTAGAGTGCATATACTTTTTCATCCAGGAACTTCACCTCCAAGAATGTGTCACACAGACACACTCAAATATGTGCAAACAGTAGATACAAGTTTAATCACTGCAGCAATTACACAGTAATAAAAAACTAGAAATGATCTGGTATCCAATGATAGGGGACTGGTTAGACAAATAATGGTACATCAATAGAATACCATGTAACCACTAAAAGAAAATATCTGCATATACATACCTAAAATGTATGCGAGTCCCAAGACATATTATGTAAAAATAAAAAGGGAGTGTGCTACTATTTTAAAAAGTGGTCTGTGTGTGTCTCTGTGTGTGTTTAGGGCGGTGTACAAATGTTTATAAACGCACAGACTATCTCTGGAAACATACGAGAGAGTAACTGGGAAACTGAATGTTGGGGGGATGGGGAAACTCACTTTTTACCTTACACCCTTTTGGACTTTAAGTCTTTTCGCCGCGTGCCTGTCTGTTTCAAGCAAATTACAAAACAGACAAGTCACTCCGCTCAAGACATTTACACCAGAAACAAAGTAGAATGGTGGTTGCCAGGGGCTAAAGGGAAAGGAGGAGAGGGAGGAGTTAATGGGTACAGAGTTTCTTTTGCAAGTTGAAAAAGTTCTGGAGAATGGTTGCAGACAATGTGAATATACTGTACACTTAAAAATGGTTAAGATGGTAGATGCTGCTATGTGTATTTTACCACTATTTTTTTAAGTGAACCGCCCCCGAGAACCCGAGAAAAAGATACCTATATTTAAGATAGTTTAATTTGTTACTAATTTGAAAGTCACTTTTTAAGCACCCCGTCATTATTTCATTATTTCAGAAGTGTGAGTTCGGAAAACGTGAAGAACCATTAGCGGTACAGTGACCTTTCACCTAGAACTTACAAAACCTTCAGCAAAACAACGCAAAAACACAAGATAGGGTCCGCCCCGCGAGCGGCGGGGTAACCCACTCTCGATCCTTTACTTGTGGGAGAGAGTTGCACGTGGCTACCACCCTGAGAGACACAACTCTGGGGTCCTTTCACGCGTCACCGCGGATTCCAGGAACACTGCGGCCAGCGTGAACCAGCACTCCCGAGCTCGCTCTCCCACCGTCAGGGCCGCGACCCCCGAGCCACCCACTCTGGCCCCACCTAGCCGCGCACTGAGCCCGGCCGAGTCGTCCCCCTCTCCCCTCCCCACCCCGCGACGCCCCCATGCCCTTACCCGGTGTTGGGTAACATGACTTTCTTAGAGCAGAGGCGGCGGCAACAGCAGCGGGAGCGAGCGTACAGTGAGAGGCGGGGCTTGTCGCCTCATTTAGCCCTGTCCCCCGAGCCCCAGCCCCCACTCCCCACCCCCAGGCCTGCAGGGAATGGGTGTCGGAGGTAGCGGCAGATCTCTGAGTGCGCCTGCGCACGCAGTGGGCCTCCCGGCGCTCGGCGCTAGTTTCCACCTCTCCCCCGCCTGGCCCCAGGAAACCAGCTCTCTGCGCAAGCGCTGGGAAAGAAAGGCAATTCCACCCCACCCTCTCGCGGGGCTCTGCGGTGACAATCGGTCTCCCGCCGGCGTCCGGCGTAGTGGGCGCGTCAGCCACTACGTACGTACGCTGCTCCCTGCTTCGTTACTCCGCTGGTGGGGTGGCCGTTTGAGTCGAGTACTAGGGACCGAGAGGGCTGGGGTGCGGCTTCTCCTCAGCAGGGGAGTACCTGACCTGAAATTACTTTGGCTCTCGTTCTTCTGTCCCTCCGTGGCCCGAGCCTGGGTGCCTGTCTGGCTGCACGCGCTCCAAAGAGGGACACGTTTTCCTCGCCAGATACTTGCTGCCAGAAGCCGGCCAGCATCGCATTTGGACTCTCGCAAGGAATCTGGACTAAAGCCCGCCGGACCTCACCGGTCTAAAGATAGCCCTGTAATGAGCAGCAACTTCTGGATCTGAACTCTTCGCAATAGCCTGGGGAAGAATGCATAGTTAGCTCTGGTCTTCCAGAATAAACTCCCAAACTCAGTGCAGGATTAAGGTGAATTTTGGGATCTAGTACGGCGGGTTTTTTTTTTTTTTAAGTTTTTATTTAAATTCCAGTTAACGTACAGCGTAATAATAGTTTCAAGTTTACAATATAGTGATTCAAAACTTCCATACGACACCAGGTGCTCATCACAAGTGCACTCTAGTATTGTTTTTGATAGTATACCTTGGGCATTACTCAGCTACCCTAATGAACTGAAGGCTGGCATATCTTTAGGGAGACGTGAAGAAATTGTATTTTGAAAGGGTAGAACAGGTCAATGAGGTGGTTACATGAGGACTAGTTAAACTAGCTTGGAGATGGGATATGTCCTCTCCCATTTACTGGAAGCCCTAAATGGTTCTATTTATTCATGTATATTGCCAGCCTCCTGTAGGCATTTGAATTGATGATCTATGATATTGTTCTTACAGACTCCAGAAGAACTTGTTTATTCAACAAATAGTAGCACCTAGTGCATGCTGGTCGCTGGAGATACAGCCCGACAAAAAAAGACAAGGTCTGCCTGTGTGGGAGGAATGAGGAGTAGCCAATGTGTTATTTAGACTGTTGTAGATATTAGGTGTTTCAAAAGGAGTGTTGAGAGGGACTGTTAGATGAAAAGCTTACTCCACCCAAGAAAGTGAAAAGACAACCTACAGAATGGGAGAAAATATTTGCAGTGATATATCCAGTAAGGTCTAGTATCCAGAATATATAAAGAACTTTTAGAACTCAGCAATAAAAAGATGAACAACCCAACTAAAAAGTGAACAGGGGCTCCTGGCTTGGTTGGTTAGTCGTCCTACTCCCGATTTCGGCTCAAGTCATGATCTCAGGGTGGTGAGATCCAGCCCTATGTCGAGCTTACCCCCGAGCTCGGCGTTAGCTTGGGATTCTCTCTTTCCCTCTCCCTCTGGCCTTTCACCCGCTCACACATACGTGTGCTCTCTCTCATTCACTCTCTCTTAAATAAATAAATAAATATCTTTTTTAAAAAAATGAACAAAGAATCTGAATAGACATTTTTCCAAAGAAGATATGCAAGTGGTCAGCGAGCACATGAAAAGGTGCCCAACAACATTAGTTATTAGGGAACTGCAAATCAAAACTACAATGAGGGGACGCCTGGGTGGCTCAGTCGTTAGGCGTCTGGCTTCGGCTCGGGTCATGGTCCCGGAGTCCTGGAATCAAGGCCCGCATCCAGCTCCTTGCTCTGCGGGAAGCCTGCTTCTCCCTCTCCCCCTCCCCCTGCTTGTGTTCCCGCTCTCGCTGTCTCTCTCTGTCAAATAAATAAATAAAATCTTTAAAAAAAACAAAACTACAATGAAATTCCACTTACACATACTAAGACAGCTAAAATAGGATATATGGAAAATAACAAGTATTGGCCAGGATGTGGAGAAATTGGAATCCTCATGCATTGTTGGTGGAAATGTAAAAAGGCATAGCCACTTTGGGAAACAGTTTTGCAGCTCCTCAAAAAGTTAAAATTATCACCTACTGGAGATTCACATGCAAAAAGAGCAATCCTACTTTTTGATATATCCCCAAGAGAAATGTAAACATGTTCAGGAGAACCACCAGATGGCGCTGTTATTTTAAAATTCAAATTATATAAAGCAAAATGTCAATTTATTAACTATTATGATACACTATTATAATCTGAGTTGATTAAGACAAATATAGCATGAAGTTCTCTACAGAACTTCTATTAAGGGGAAATAAGAGGAGCCATATTTTAAATTCCTTAAAATACTTTGTATCATTAAAAACAGGATTGTGATACTCTAATTCATTTTATTATCTAAATTAATTATTAATATTACCAATACTAAAAAGTAATTTGGGGGGCACCTGGGTGGCTCAGTTGGTTAAGTGTCTGCTTTCTGCTCATGGTCATGATCCCAGGGTCTTGGGATCAAGCCTTGAATCAGGCTCCCTGCTCAACAGGGAGCCTGCTTCTCCCTCTCCCTGCTTGTGCTCTCTCTCACTAGTAAATAAATAAAATCTTTCAGGATCGAGTCCCGCATCGGGCTCCCCGCTCAGCGAGGAACCTGCTTCTCCCTCTGGCCCTCCCCCCTCTCATGTGCGCGCTCTCTCTCTCTCATTCTCACTCTCTCAATATAAATAAACAAATCTTTAAAAAAATAAAAAAAATAAAAAAGTAAATAAAATTTATTTAAAAAAATAAAAAGTAGGGGCGCCTGGGTGGCTCAGTCGTTGAGCGTCTGCCTCCGGCTCAGGTCATGGTCCCGGGGTCCTGGGATCGAGCCCCGCATCGGGCTCCTTGCTTGGCAGGGGGCCTGCTTCTCCCTCTCCCACTCCCCCTGCTTGTGTTCCCTCTCTCGCTGTGTCTCTCTCTGTCAAATAAATAAATAAAATCTTTTTAAAAAATAAATAAATAAATAAATAAATAAAAAATAAAAAAAATAAAAAGTAATTTCAAATGCATGGGAAATTGAAAATGCAGACTTAAGCTGAAATATTAAAAGGTAAGACATTGAGGGGTGCCTGTCTGGCTCAGTTGGAAGAGCATGTGACTCTTGATCTCAGGGTTGAGAGTTCAAGCCCCATGTTGGGTGTAGAGATTACTTAAATGGAAAACTTAAAAAAAAGAAGTTATGACACTGAGAACAACTTCAATCTGAAGTTATCGAATAAGGACTTTTCTAACTCTATCTTGCATAAGAATATATATTTTTTAAAGATTTATTTTACTTTTTGAGAGAGAGGAGGAACAGAGGAAGAGGGAGAGAATCCTCAGGCAGACTCATTGCTTTTTTTTTT